GGTACCTCGAAGACCAAGCTGGAGCTATGGCGCTGCAGGTAAGTCTCCCTAGCCTCCGCCCAATCTCTCGCTCTCTCTCCAGTACTACTCTAGCTCCTACTAGCGCCCAGCGCTGAAGACTACTGCTAACGCTACTAGCGCCCAACACTGAAGACAACGGCTAGCGCTACCACTACTCCTGCAGCGCTCCTCTAGAGTGCTGCTGCCGCCTGCCTCCTGAACTGCACGTGAAGTGCCAGGGAAGTACCTAGGAACTACCTTCAGCCTGCAGGGCGGGCCAGTCCTATATAGTGCTGGCCCGTCCAGGAGGCTGCTCTTGCCAATGCCAAAACATGCCAGACCCTATCGCTGAAGCTCAACCAAGGGTTGTCTTGAAAACAGGCTGAAAATGGCCTGTGCTAAAACCCTGGTTTGGTGCCTGAGTTTCAGGGCAGGTCGATCTTATGAGGGCCTGAAAATGGCCCTCGGTTTCAGGCTGAAAAGACTCAGGGCCGGAAAGGCCCTGTTTTAGGCTGAAACGACACAGGGCCTGTAGGCCCTTGTTTTCAGGCTTTAAGGCTGAAACGACACAGGGCCTGTAGGCCCTTGTTTTCAGGCTTTCGGGCTGAAAACGACACGGGCCTGAAAATGGCCCGTGCAGCCTGTTGCAGGTGCAGCATGTAACGGGATCGACCATGCGGGGTTCGTTAGCCACTCTAGTGGATGGACCGGCCGGTCCAACGCTGTTGGCGGGGCCAAGTTTGACAGTTGGATGTATGCGAGTGGGGCTCATGGTATATCTTCCGCCAGCAATAAGCGTATGATGATTTTGAACGGCAGTGCTTTTATTTGGTCTCCTGGATCGATTATTGCCAGGCTACCCTTGTTTCTTGGTTGGGCTACTTGAGCCCAGGCCACACGTTTGATGCAGTTTGATAATTCATAGTCATTTCGCCACGGGAAGGCTGCGGTTGCATTCTTAAGATAGGATAGTTGGTGTGGCCGCAGGACCCAGAATGCCATTTTGTACCAGATCGTAGACAAGACTGCGTTGTTGATTGCTAATGCATGACCCACCCAGGAAGTGTGGAGGCCCTTCAAAACTAGCCATTGCTTGAATAGCTGTTTGGACCAGGCAGTCCCCATGGTCTTTCGGGAGGCCTAGGGGTGTTAGCCGAACACCTAAGATACGAATGGCCTCCTCCTTTGCTCTCCAGTTGATCGGGGGGTCTTTTGGACGGGGGGGATGTTCTGCGGTCAACCACCATACTTCTGTTTTCGAACCCCAATTAACTTTCATGTCTGCGGCTATCGAAAAAATGTGCATGGTTTGGGCCAGTGCTTGGAAGCTGGTTGTGGTGACCTTGATAAGGATCGTCAAGTCATCAGCAAACAGGGAGGTGACCGGGATCTTATGTGTTGGGATTTCGGGGATGTCGATGCGTTCTATAGCCGGTTTCGAGCGAATGAGCACCGCCAGGGCTTCCATAATGACAACAAAGAGCAGCGGGGCAATGGGGTCTCCCTGTTGGACCGATCGTTGTAGTGGGAAGGGAGGAGATATATGACCATTTGTCATTATGTTAGTGGCAGTGGATTGGTGTAGAGTATGGATCCAATGTCTGAATTTGTGTCCAAATTTCATTTTTCGTAGACATAGGTCCATAAATTTCCAGTCTACATGATCATAGGCTTTCTCAAAGTCTATGAACAAAATCGTCGGCTCCACTCCTCTCTGTCTCACATATTTGATTGTTTCATTGACCAGTAGGATGCTGTCTTGAATATTACGTTGAGGCATGAATCCCGTCTAGTCCATATGGATGAGATTTCCCATCAATGGCTGTAGGCGGTTTACCCAGGGCTTTGGCTACCATTTTGTAGGGGAAGGGGAGAAGCGTGATAGGTCGGTAGTTTCTGATCTCCACCCTGTCCCCTTTCTTGTAGATCAGGGTGGGAACTCCTTGTCCCATCAGGTCCCCGAAACGACCCTCCTGCTGGGCTGCATGTATGTATCATCAAGTCCATTTTGAGCAGGTTCCAGTAGTGGAGCTATAATTCTTTGGAAAAGGAGTCGAGGCCGGGGGTCTTTTCGTCATCCATGGCTGTGAGGGGCTTCTAATACTTCCTTTTGTTGTTGTGTGAGGAGGGATGGTAGGTTATGGAGCATTGTTGATCTTGCCATCAAGGGTGCTTTTGCCCCATTGTCCAGTTTCTGATGTGAATAGTTTCTGGTAAGATTGTGCGGCGTAGTTTACCATCGTGTAGGCATTGGTGGCATCAGGATGTCTTGGTTGGAAGGGATGATGCAATGATGTCACCAGGTTCTGTCTAGCTCGACTCTTGGCTTTATTAAAAAAGGTTTGAGACATTGTACCTTCCGTATCTGCCTTTTTTATCCTGGCCTGAATCCTCCATGCCTTGGTCTGTCTGTCCAGGTAGGCTTGTAGGTGATCCCTAGCCTGCTGGAGCTGGTCAAAGGTATGCAGGTCTAGGGGGTCGTCCAACAATTTCCGGTCCCATTGCTCTAATGAGTGTAGAAGTATGTCTAGTGTTGCCTTGCGTTGTCGTGCTTGGTTAATGGCAAACTTCTTAATGTAGTCCCTAAGCTTGGCAATCCCCACGTTGAACCAGTCTACAATTGATGGGGTTGTGGTCTTTTGTGTTGTCCGGTAGGCCCAAAACTCCTTCACCAGCGTATCCAATGATTGTTCTTTAAGGAGAGAGGTGTTGAACTTGTAGAAGCTGGGTCCACGATGAAGTTGGAAATGGAAAGAGAGTCCCAACACAATGCCCCTGTGGTCAAAGGATCTGCAGGGACTGATGGTTTGCATCTCTGCCACTGTCACTAGAGATGAGATCGACTGGGAGATGAGTAAGTAGTCTATCCTAGAGTTAGATAATCCCGCCTCTCCCCTAGATCTCAGGCATGTGTAGGCCCTTTTGGAGGGGTGAAGTTGACGGTAGACATTGCATATTTGCAGTTCTGCCATCCATTGATTGAGGAGAAGGATGTTTGGGGACATGTCTCCTCCTTGCGTGTGGGCCGAGGATTGTCGATCGATCATCGGGTCCGGGGTGATGTTGAAGTCTCCGGCTAGTATAAGGGGACAATCTTTTGGCAGGATCTGATAGAGAGTGTCCAGGAATTGCAGTCTTTCGTTGCAATCGTTTGGCCCATAAACACTGACAATGCAGACCATCTCGTCTCCTATAGACGCCTTGAGATATACCCATCTCCCCTCAATCTCATCAAATTGAGATTGGAGAGGTTTGAGCTGTGAGGAAGGGGGTAGCCATATGGCCACGCCCGCTGATGCTCTAGTTGTGGCCGGGGCTGGGTAGGCCATGTGCAGCCATACTTGTCTCCTCTTAGCCTCATGGTTTGGGGTGAGAGAGAGGTGGGTTTCCTATATGCATCGGCATCGGCCCAATCAGTCGTGTCTGGTGTTTAATCTCGTCCCAGATGGCTCACT